ATAATTTATGTTTACTATTAAATTTTAATCTAACTTTTTATTTCATTTATCATTATTCATATTTCTTATTTTCGGTTTGAAATGAGACAACTCTCTCTTAAAATGAAAAATACAACCCTCCCCTCCTGCCTCTTAATTTTCTTAATTTATATATCATATAATTTAAAATTAAAATTTTTATTTATTTATTAAGAAAGAGACTATTACTAACTGCTTTTTGTTAAAAAAATTGTAAGAAGAATCATGTACTAAAAATATACTAATTATTTATCTGATTATTAATAGTTTATTTTTTAAGAGTTCTAATGGTACGTTATTCTCATTCATTATTATAAAAATTTAAATTTTCACTTTAATTTTATTAATTATTTAGTTAAAAGTATCATTGTAATATTAATATTAAAAATAAAATTAATGTTTTTTTATAAAAAATATTATACAATTTATCTTAATTTAAATTGTATAAGACTTATTATTAAATGATTTTTTTTTTTTTTTTGGTACATAAGAAGCTAAATAAAACTTAGTCCTAGTAAGGAAAAAGTTCCTATACTATCTCCATGGAAAATGCTCCCAATACTCACCGGTGGATTTGGAAAGAAGGTGGTGCCTTGAATAAGATTATGGTCAATAAAGGCCATAAAATCCGCTGCCAAGTTTCCTTCCCTTAAAGGGTGTTGAACTGTGCAAACCATGAAGGAGTTTAATAGATGGAAAATGTCTAACAAGAGCACAGAAGCTAAGCCATCTCCAGCTTTCTTCGCCTATTTCATCTGCACTGCTAAAAGAGAGTCCATCCCAAGGACCAAATAAGAAATTCTGAGATCAAAGGCTAACTGAAGGCCCGTGTGGCAACCCCAAAGCTCTGTCATGAAACTAGATTGTAGCCCAATGTTAATGGCAAAACCATGCAGCCATCGCCCTCCATGATGATGGATAAGCTCGCCAGCACTGGCTCTTCCAAAGGAATGGTTCATCGTCCCATCTGTATTCAATTTAAGGAAGGCAAAATCAGGTGGAAACCACCTTACCCACTTGGGTAAACGAGTATGAGCCAATATGTTTGCTGCCAACGCCAACGCTGTGTCAGTTGCTATCGTGGAAGCTTGCTGATAAAGTGCTTGGGGAGGGGTTCTTCTATTATCAAAAATAACAGCATTTCTACTCTTCCAAATCACCCAAATAACAGATAAAAACAAAGTAGAACAATTTTGACAGGAAACTCCTCTAGACAATGTAGCTTGTGCATTCTTACTTAACCATTCTTTGAAATTCAGTGTGAGAAGTCAGTAGGGAGAGCAATGACGGCCGCCCAGATCAAACGAGAATGGAGGCAATCTCTCAAGAGCTGTAATGGAGTCTCTACACCCTGTTCGCATCTGGGACACACAGGTGTTGCAACAAAATGCCTCTCGAATCGCACAAAGTTGGTGAGCACTTTACCACTCCAAAGAAGCCAGACAAAGATATTATAAAATATGATAATTTAACAACTTTATTTTGTGGTTTAAGTATAATTTAAATTATAAAATATTATAAACCCTATATTTTCTATGTAAATGAATATTTTAAAAAATTATATATTTTATACATAAAAATTAAAAATTTAAGCCTAAACATGGATAATTCTATTATTAGATCACAATATTAATGGAACAATTAATTTTTTTTGGGCATTAAGAAGTGAAGAGTTAACGAGATGATAGAATAGTCATTGTATGATTTCAACCTCAAATTTGAACTTTGAATGAATGAGAAGATTTTATTTATATCAAAAAAGAATAAGAAATGATTCACCCATAATTTTATTCTTTTTTTTATATCAAAGAGTTAATTATTTGATATTATAGAAATTTAAATTTTTTATTTTAATCTTAAATTAAAAAATTTAAATTAGTAGGTAGCAACTCCATTAAGTTGGTCATATTTTTATTCCATTCAATTTTGATACATAAATTAATCTAAATCTACTTAAATAATATCATGTGACTTTGGGAGAAGAAAAAAAAAACATGATAGGTTATTAAAGGGTAATAATAGAATTATTACAATGCTATATAAAATTGTGAATTTATAATTATAATATTATTAAATTAGTGAATACATATATTATTACATGTGAATTTTTGAATAAAAATAGTCAATTATATAATAACACATCATCATTACATATTTACAATACCACATGAATATTTTAACCATATCATTTTGAATTATTAAACCAAAATAATAATAATAATAATAATAATCTCCATTCTCCCTTGGATGGATGTTTTAAGTTGGACAATAAAAACAACTTACATTCATTTTTTTATCTTATTTACATATCATACTATTAAAACTCAAATCTTTTTATTTTCACACAAAAATTATTATTATTTAACTATGTAAGTTGTTGGCATACCAGTCATATTTTTGCTCAATGTCCTCCATTGGTCTCCAATTTGCAAATAATTAAGATGTTATAATTTGGTGGGATGTCTTTTCTGTCCTTCCTTGCTAAACTTACTAGCTTTCATTTTATGGCAGAATTAGAAGATGCTTTATCAGCTTGTTATACTAAGACAAGTATATAATGACTAGTAATAAAGAACTTTTGGCTTATGTACCCGACAAAGAAAAAAAAAATCTAATGAAGAATATATGGCTTTAATCAAGTTCAACCCCAATTTTGAGAGCTAATACTTCATTAGAATTAGATAGCAGTCTATATAATATATACGGAATATTATTCATTTTTATATATCTTAAGTAGTATAAGGAAGAGAAAAACGATAAATAAGGATGTTAACTTTACATTTTTTTAAAAGAAATGTTATTGGAACAACTATTTTATCCCACCTTTTTGTACAACTTGATGTATTATTAAAATGATTCACTACTAGAATTTATTATTTAACCGACGAAAAATCACGTCGGAAACAAAGGGAATGACGTCAGTGAAACAACCTTCTCACTTGAATCATGTCAGAAATGCCTTTGTCGGTGAAAGTGGGCTTGGTAATTGGTTTACTAACGTGGAATAAAGTCACGTCGTGAACCTACAACCAATTACTGACAAAAAATTCCTCTCCAATATTAAGTTGCAACAACAATATCGAAGCCTTTTTTTGGTATTCCATGTCAGTAAATTACTGACTAGAATCACGTCTGTAACTAATAAAACAAGTGAGCCACCTTGCTAATTCACAAGGACGATGCTGACTGCATCTCACTATTACCGACATGAACAAAATCGAAAGTTTGTTTGGCTTTTTTCCTCTCTCCAAATCATCGACGAACGTAACATTGGTGAAGGATTCTTACTGAATTAATCTACAAAAAAATAGTTTCATTTACCGACAAAGATACCATCGGAAAAATAAATATGCAAAAATAAAAAAAAAGTTTCATGAATTAATATTGAAATTAATATATACTTTTATTTAATTCAATTAATTTACAGTTAAATACTAAATAATTCATAATATTCATTAGCATAAAATAAATATTATATGAAAATTTTACAATAAAAATAGAAAATTATTGTATTTATTTATTTAAATTAATGATTAAAACTATTTAAATTGGTGATTAAAACATTATTTTAAAAAAATAATATGATAAAATTTATTTATTTAAATTAATGATTAAAACTATTTAAATTGGTGATTAAAACATTATTTTAAAAAAATAATATGATAAACTGAAAATATAACTAAATAATCCAAAAAAAAATTAAACATTACCTTAATAGATAAATAATTATAGAACACCATTTCTTAAAAAAATAAAAAATAAAACATAAATTAGGTTAGTATTTATTTATAATTGTAACCAAAATGGCTCTAATCAACATATAAATGAAATTTAATGTTAATTTGCATAAATAAAATTTACTTACCAATGATTATCGCCTATGTTTCTTGAAAAACAAAATTAAAAAAAAATAGAATTGCAAATAAATTGATTTGATATAACATAAAATAATATTCAATCAAATATGGAGAAAAAAAAGAAAGAGGAGATTGAGAAGATATAAACCTAAAATCATATAAATATAATGTAATTATAAACATAAATAATTAAACAAGCAGCATTAATGAACTGAAGAGAAAGAGGAGCCACAGATAAGGGAGGAGAAGAAAAAAGAAGAAGAAGAAGAAGAAGGAAAGAAGAAATGAGCCGGGCAGAGGGCTGAAGTGTAGTATATATAGTCTACTGTACTTATATATGCTTTGCCAGTATTTATTTTATCGACAAAGTTAACATAGGTGACTGATCTCAAAGCGGGAATTGAAAAACCAAAAAAGTTTTGCAATCCCGCCCAAATTACTGACGAGTTTAATGTTGGTAAACATGTTGCAATCCCACCCAATTTATTTATTGCTAATTCACCGACCTAAAACATGTTAGAAATTGAAAATTTTCCGACAAGATGCATGTTGGACCATATTATTAAAATATATAAAATAATAATAATATTCCTTAAGAAAATCCTTACCACTCCTTGATTCACCATTGCAAAAAGAAAAATGTAGAAGTGATTCGAAGGAAAGAATAGAGTAAGGGAGAGCAAACTACTTGCTGCTTGATCCA